GATGTTTGGATTGCCTTCAAGCAGCAATGGACCGTTAACATACTGCTGATGGCTTAAAGAAAAGCCTCAGTAATGTTTGTGTCTTAAGTACTTTAGATACATTTTACCATTAATAAGATTGCTTGGCTAATTGCATTGCAGGACCAGGAGCACTGCTGTTTAAAGTGGTGAACAAAGCACTTGGATCTTTTAATTAATTAAATATAGTATGGGAGCAATTTAAAAAACTTCACCATAAAAGGAAGTAGCACTTAAATCAAACTTTTGAAATACACCACAAATGTGTTAACCTTTCACATTATTATTTGATAGTGAAGCACAAACATTTTCATTCAGTTGTAGCTGGCTAATTTGAAATATTTTGTGTAAGGTTTCTAAACCTTAGTTTTAAAGACTGGGTCACTTAAAAGAAAAATAGTAAAATTAAAGGCTTGTGATTAAATACATCAATTATACCCATTTCCAACCCCCTATTTTTATTCATTTACGGCAGTGGGATAGCTTTATTCTACAGTTTATTGATTGATTCACATGATTAATAGCCTATTCACAGTGAGAAAAATGCACATTTGACTGCCTTTCACATCCCATTCAAGTCAATTTTCTTCTAATTGGATGTCCCTTGCAAACAGAAGGTTTGAACAGTGGGACGTGGGGCTTCCTTTAGTCACAGCCAGATCTGTGTGCCTCATATAAGTGTATTAGGGATATCTACTCTTACTGAGATAATACAAAACTAAGAACACCAAATTTAGAATCTGAAGCCTGAGCCTTTGGCTCAAAGTGACCACTTGTACATACACCTTCCATTACTGGCATCCATTATTTTACAAAAAAGTTAAATTTCAAATGAATCTCTGCAATCCTGTGAAAAACTAAGTACACCATTCCTGCTTCCACAGGAATGAATAGGGTTCTGTAAATAGCAGACAGGTGCTGCTAATTAAAGCACTTGATTAATTGATCATCAGCAACTGTGAGGAGTACTATGAAAGCAGAAGTTTTAACTGTTGCCTGGTCTGGAGCATTCAGGTGTGTGTTAACACACAGTCTTCCAAGGAGTGAATGCCCCAGATAAAATTCAACCCAAGGTCAGACTGTGCAGTTCTCAGAGAAAAACAAGAGACCTAAGATCTACATCTCAGACTCTGCAGGCCTCAGCTAGCATGTTAAATGTTCAATTTCATGACAAGACAAAACAAGTGTGGCTTGTTCGGAAGGGTTGCCAGAAGAAATCCTTTTTAGTCGTATTCTTAGCCATAACGGTGGAAATCAAGCACCTCATATCAGATGTGAAGTAAGGTGGTGGAGGGGTAATAATTTGGGATTTTTTTTTTTTTGCAACCACAGGGCCTGGGCACCTTTCAGTCACTGAGTCCACCATGAGCTCGTCTGTACACCAAAGTATTCTAGAGTCACACGTGAGCACGTGAGGCCATCTGTCTGACAGCTAAAACTTAGCTAAACAATGATCCCAAGCATAGCAGTTAATCTACAACATAATGAAAAGAAAAGAATCAAGGTTCAATGAAAGACCTCAACCTGACTGAGAGGCTCAGATGGGACTTTAAGAGAACTGTGCATACATGAATGCCCAAAAACCTCAATGAAGGGATGTAACGTTGTACAGAGTGGGCCAAAGTTCTTCCACAATGCCATTAAAGACTGATAGTCATACAGAAAACCATTGCTTCAATATTGCTTTTTAAGTTGGCGCTACAAATTACTGAATCATTGGGTGTACTTAGTTTTCCAGAAGACTGCATAGAATCTTTTATTGTCATTCCAATACACGAGGCAGGCGAAAAGGGAACAAAACGTAATGAGGTCCCAGTTAAACAGCATTAGAACAAGCAAAACAACTAAATCAGTATTACAATTAAATAAATTAAACCTCTTAATAAAAAAGACATTGTTTGTTTGTTTAAATAAATTGAGCTAAATTTTATATCTAAAAATATTTATTCATTTTCGACATTTTAATTTCAAACAGTTATTCAAATAAAACTTTATAGTTTTATAGAAAAACTTTATAGATGTATTGCAATTTTGATGGAAGTAGTAACAACTCACATGCGTCTGTGGCCAAGCAGGCCTTAAAAAAAAAGAAAACCTTTTATAGGGCCGTGTATCTACTGTACGTTAAAAGCAGCATAAAATAAGATTACTCAAACAAACAAGAGTCTACAAAATTAAAGCTCTAGCTGGTTCGATCCCAGGAGGAGACACAAATCCCTGTGGGGTTGTGTCAGGAAGGGCATCCGGCGTAAAAATCAGCCAAATCAGACATGCGGCGCTACCCGCTGTGGTGACCCCTTGAGAACAAGGGAGCAGTCGAAAGTAGCTCTCTACTCGGGTGCATTTATTTACAGTAGTTGCTCTGAAAAACTGACTGGTTCATTAATGTAGGGCATGAAATATCAGTTGTGCAGACGGCAGCTCTTCTCTGTTCGTGGGGAGCACAAAGAATTCCCTTTGATGTTAACACTGACTCGGTTACCATTTGACGGATATATAAAATATTCACATTAACTTCAGAGGCTCGATGTTTGGCTGAAGCCATTTGCCAGTGACATGTTTTTCAGATCTTAGGTAAATAAATTCATGCGGGGTAGCATGAGTAATGCAGGTGAAGATGAGTGATGGGCACGAGCACATGTTTAAATGCACAGACTGTGATGAAACACCGAGTGTGAAGGGTAAGAGAGACGAATGAAAGCGTGCCTTTGTCTTTGGCTTGAGAACCCCTTTCAGAGTGAGCAATATGCCAGGAGTGTGATTGATTCAATCACGTTTACTGTGAAGTCAGCACTAACACCACCAGGAACTATACACTCCCAGCAAGCTTACAACATGCACTTCTAATAGACTGTTGAGGTATGTTGGGGGGTTTTCAAGCTTCTAAATTTAGCAGCCAATTAGAGTGTGGCTAAATCACTCATTAAAATTTGCAATTTGCAATTTTACACGAAATAAACAAAACCATGAGAGTCTCAAGTGGAATTAGATGACATATTAGCAGAAGGCTCACTAAAAGGTCAACACTTTTAAAGCTTCAATTACAGTCAAATTGTTTATTTGCTTCCAGTTCTCCAGTGTTCACGGGCTTTAAGTTACCAGTCATTCTTATTTGAGTGAAAGAAATTAAATCCAGGGAACAGCACAATGCAGTCTGCTAATAAAGGCGGATCCTGTTGACCGCACGCTGGCCCGAGCGACAAACGCGCTGTTTGGTCTCTTAGTGGATTTCACAACTCATTTAAAGAGGTGTGAACACAAAAAGCTGAAAAGGCAAGACGCAATGCACACAACAAATTACAGAGGAAGTCATTCTCCTCTGCGGCTCGCTGCGTTTCAGGCTATAATTGTGAACAATGCGGAGACTTTTGATATTAGTAAAAAAGAAGCAACATTTCTTCTCAAAGGATACTTTGATGGTTGTTTGTAACTCTGTGGTCGCAGAAAGCTCAGGGCCAAAAAACAAAACCAGTAGACAAAGCAGCTGGTGGCTATAGTAGCTCTAAAAGCAAACTTATGATAAATAAAGGAACTTATTAGCTAAGGGAGGCCTATTTCTATGACCCTGAAGACACAAGAGGTCCTTCAAATGTCAGCAGCTGCATGGTGCACATGTGCATGTCTGCACTGCGGCTGTGCAGCCCAGATAAGAAAACAGTTACCATCTGTGTTGTAATGGAGCTCTAGTTTTAAATCACGTGTCAAATTGATGAAACACTTGTGAATGAGGAATAATTGGTGTGACGAGTACATCAGAATTTGTCCGCCGTCCTCTGCCGTTTTTTTTAAAGGTGTGTGTCATATTATGCATCTGCACACTGTCGCCCATTTGTCACAGAATCAAAGTGAGGTTAAAACTGCCTAATTGGACTGCAGAGGAAATCGAGTGTGTCGCGTCTGCCTAAAGCTGGACCAAATCAAGGATTTCTCTGTGACACTGTTGTGAACAATCGAAAACGGCCGTCCAACGACTGAAAACGCTCTGCTTGTTTCACACTGTACTTATTTGTTAGCCTTAAATTGTTTCACAAAAGTAGGTCCAATTCCTAAACAGAATGCAAACCCAATTATTTCAAGAGACTGGGGGACGGTGAGCAAGGCTGGTGGATCCTTATAGATGAGTGGAAATATTTTGGCTTCTAGTGTCTAAGTTGGCTGGCAAAGAAAGCGGTTATTTTTAGCAGCATGTTTATGTAAGTGACTAACATGTTGTGGAATAATGAGGAGGCTCTCTGGGCCCTCGGTGGAGCTGCAGAGACGAGACTCTCAGAGCGGCAGAGGGTGATTGAAGGCAGCTAATGAGCAGGAGGGAAGAAAGAACACGGGGCAGAAATGACTTGGATAGTGAAGGCATAAAAATACAAAGGAAATAAGACAATTACCAATGGGAGGTCTCTGAAAGGCAGGAGTGAGAAGACAAGCAAACAGAGATGAAAATGGTGCTGAAAAATGTCATTGCAATAAGGCAGATAATTATCGTGGTCAGGGGAAAAAGGAAAGAAAAAGTACACTGGCATGAGAAAGCACTGTTTGATTTGACTGGCTGAAATTTTACCGCTAAAAGCCAAAGATTAAAAAAGAAAAAGAGTAGAGTACCAGTGAGCATCTCACTGCTGTGATTTATGAGCTCATTACTGCTTTCCAGCTAACACCCAAATTGTTTTATCTCCTCACTCATCAAAGCATTACGGTGAAATTTTCTACATTTGGTTGCGTAGTTAGCGCTCATTTTTATTTCTGTAGCAGTATGTTGAGCTCTGGTGCTATTTCAGGCGCAGGTCTATGACACAATAGACTTCAACGCAGTGACTCACCAAAAACACTGACAAACAAAACTACCCTCCTCTACCTAGATTCTGAAATCACCTCTCATTTTTCTTCAATAGCATATCCTTCACATCCTTTCATTTGCAGCCAATTTTCTCTCTCACACACAAGCACACACACACACAGAACAAGCGCTCTAGTACATTGTCTGGTACCTCTTCTCAGGGGGCGGTTCCTGATTGGCTGGTGGCGGTGGTGCTGCCTGCGCTGTTTCCTGCAGGTCAGGGATATTGGCAAAGTCATCTTGCTCTGCCACACCAATGGCCAAAGCCAGGACCACCAGCTTTCCTTCACTGGCTCCCCATAAAAAAATAAAATAAAATAAAATAGATAGAAACAGAGGTAGAGAGACAGAGAGGCAAGGAAAAAGAGAACAGATGCAAAAGGTTCGAGCATAAAGAAAGGCGAGGTGCAGGGAGAGAGAGGAAAAAGGAGAGGTCATTTTAGGTGACAGCGAGGGCTGAAAATTCAGAGGCAGAGAAAACAACAACAGATCATACGAGAGCAAACAGCAGAAGCGGCGACGGAGAAAATGGTCATAAAAGAGGAACTCTGCAACTCCACATAAAACCCCACAAAGTAAGCGCACAGTCCAGGGAAGGATATTAAGAGGACACCTTAAAGTGAAAGGCCAAACTGATAAAAATCGAATGATTTCAACGGGAGCGGGTACAGGCCGTCGGACAGCAAATACATCAGGAAACTCTGGGTAATGATTGTTAATGGATGTGATATTCAGGAGTTTGCACGTCAGCTTCCACGCATGTATAAGGTGTCTACAGGTGCGCGCACACACACGTCACGCAGGCAAAAAACACTACCCCCCCCAACACACACACTGTCATTTATCTAGTGATTTCACCTGCCTTCTGCTTTTCCTCCACATTCACCTTTCCCACTGAACATGCGAGGCGTCTTTCTCCAGAGTTAAGATTTAATTAAGCCTCATTAAGAAGATCTGGACTAATTGTTTCTATTTGAGCGATACAGTATCTTGAGGTGCACGGTGTGTGTCGTTTTCTGGGTCACGGCTCTCTCACTGCTGCACTCTTCTCATTTCATCATCTCTACTGTGCTACAGATTCTCACCAAATCTCCCCCACCCTTTTTCGCCCTTTTTTTTACCCCACCCCCCTCACCCACCATATCCCCCCTCACCCCTATGCACTTAATTCTCTGACTCCTCATCACTGCCTCCTTCCTGTCATCCACACCCACGGTTCTATAGCTTAAGCCTCTCGCTGTGTTACAATATCTCGGCAAAGAAATATATGGGGCTGCCAAGCCGCAGAGAGATATCACCCTAAACTTCACAATTTCATCTTTCTTGCATACCGTCGAAGGCTTTTACTGCAGGACTGTAAAGTCTGTTTAATAATCTCCCTTTTATACACCAGTAGTTTAAAAACTTTTATGTCTAGTAACCCTTTTCAGATTAACATGAGTTCCTGACACCATCTGTCACACGTGTATTCATTTTTCCAGCAACTGTATTCATAGTCCTTTTCATTGCAGTGATTTCAATTCATATATTCATTACTGCTGGCTAAATGTATCAGTTCCTTTTTTTTTTTAATTTCTATTTCTATAATAACTATTATTTTGTCTGCTTCAACCTCTCTGCCTTTTTTCTTGCTAGTTTTATATACACTCAGCTTAAACATTTTGCATTCTGGTGTTACAGCTCACTCAATATGAATGAATATATTGAATATATTTGAATCAGTTATTCTAGATTATTCTATTCAGATCCACTGAGGTACCTCGTTATCTGGTGATACTCGCCTCTGATTGTTTTTGTAATTCACGATACACCGTGGTAGCTCAAAGTGTGCCCACATCAGCCAGTGCCTTTGCTATATCTGTCATACTAGCAGATCTAACTTAGAGAACATTATTTAAGTTGCTTTACCTTGCTTACGTTTGCTTATGGGGCGATCGTGGCTCAAGAGTTGGGAGTTCGCCTTGTAATCGGAAGGCTCCTAAATCCTCCTTTTTATACTTTGCCTGACTTAATGTCATGCTTGCTCAGTTCTGTATGGGGGTCTTGCTGCTAGTCTCGTACAAGTGGAAGGGCGGGGGCATCCTAGATGGAATTTATCCTCCCAAATAAACACTGACTGACCACCTCATTAGGTACATCTGTTAAACGTCTCATAAACACAAATGTCTAATCAGCCAATCACGTGGCAGCAACCCCATCAGGCGTTTAGATATCATAGAGACCTCCTACTGAAAGCTCAAACCAAGCATCAGAATGGGGAAGAAGGTGACTTTTAATATTTCATAGTTGTTGGAGCCAGATGGGCTGGAAACTGCCAATCTACTGGGTTTTCCTACACAACCATCTCTAATGTTTATAGAGAATGATCTGAAAAACAGAAAAATCCAGTTAGTGTCTTAAAATGCCTTGTTGATGTCATGCGTAAAGGAGAATGGCCAGGCTGCTTTGAGCTGATTGGAAATCAAGCACAACTCAAATAACCAATTGTTTTATCTAAGGCGTGCAGAGGGCCCATAAAGCAGATGACCTCACAGCAGCAGAAGACCTCACCAGGCGCCACTCCTGTCAGCTAAAAACAGGAAACTCAGGCTGCAATATTCAGTTGGTAGGATCAGAATTTAAACAACATTCAGCATGGATCCATTCTGCCTTGTATCACTAACTCAGGCTGCTGGTGGTGTAAAAGTGTGGGGCATATTTTCTTGGCACACTTTGGGCCCCTTAGTACCAACTGAGTATTGTTTAACCACCCCAGGCTGCCTGAGTATTGTTGCTGATCATGTCCATCCCATTATTCTGAGGCTGTTTCCAGCAAGTTGTGGCAAAACTCAGAACATCTCAAACTGTTTTTTTGAACATGACAATGAGTTCACTGTACTCCACAGTCACCAGATCTCAATCCGGTAGAGTATGTTTGGCATGCAGTGAAACTAGAGATTCACATCATGGATGAGCAGCCGACAAATCTGCATTCACCAAAATCTCTGAGGAATGTTTCTAGCATTTTGTTGAAACTATTCCAAGTGGAATTAAGACAGCTCTGGAGTCAAAACGAGGTCCAACCCAGTACTACCAACGTATACCTAATAAGGTGGCTCTGGATGTATTTTTCCAATAAAAATGTTCAGTATTTTAAAAGTTATTTTATAATCACATTAAAAAAAATGTTATTTCAATAATGACCAATCCAATCCAAGGTGTCTCTAATAAAGTGGCTAGCAAGTATACAGTCTTCTTTTGTCTATAGTGGTTCTGATATAAATATTGCAGTCCAGGCATACAAAGCTAAGAGTCCCTGTCATAATATTTCAAACTATCAGCAGAATTAACCTGTACTCCTCATTGAGAACCACTGAATAATATAACATGGTCTATGCAGTAATACTGTAGATACTGTAGGTATGATGTTTATTGGATCTCTCTACTCTCATCACTTTTAAGTACTGTATGGGCAATATTGTTAAAGCACTTTGCTTGAGCCATTGAGCACTGGGAAGGAGAGAGACCATTTAGAAAAGACATTACAGACACTGGGATAAACGATCGATTTAAAGCCACAAAAAAGCCATGTGGTCAAACGGCTCCAAAAGTCAACTATCTGTGTCAATGACATCAACGCATTCCTTCAGCAATGATTCATCAGGACAAGGATTCTGGCCAAGATTGAAATTAACCGGTTTGAACAATGGGTCACGTCTATTACCAGACCGCTCTGTCATCAACCATAGGAGGTGTTCCTGTTGCAGCAAAGTAGATACAACGACAATGACCTCAATCTCACATTAGCAACGATGATTCCTATAGCTGACTATTACGAGCAATATTCTCAGTGACCTTGGTGCCTGCATGTGCTACGTTGCTGGTGCTCCGTTAGCTAGTGTTATACTGAAACACCAGAGAGGCTTTATAACATGTTTTTTTTTTTAAAGAAGAAAGAAACAGATGATGAAAGGCTAGTGTAAAACTGATTCAGTCGACATTAAACACATGTTACTTTGGCAGTGTCCTTGCTCATCCCTTCATCCCCCACCCCCCCACCCCCAAGTACCAATATGTTGTAGAGGAAATGGGTCCGGTGACATAAGATCAATGCTTCAGGGTTAACACAAATCTACACACAGCTCCTTAACCCCTGTTCTTATAGTGTTGCAGTGACATGTGGGCTGTGTGATGTACACACGGTCCCGCACACGTGAGCAGGCTGGCAGCACAACCAGCAGTTATACAGAGATGATGAAAGAAAAAGAAGGTGCCATTTTAGCTGCAAACACTCATGAAACATGGATTAGGCCCGCTGGTGTGTCTCCAAAACCAGATATTTAACAGCTATCCAAAGGGTGGCTCAGAAATAGCATGATCTAATTGGGTGAGAAGGAGTGAATGTAAAATATATTGTGACTTTTTTAATGAGACCAAATTCTGAATGTTCTGAACCAGCACCAGCAGCGCTGTCCTGTAACCACAATTGCAGCAGACAGGCTGAATGCCATCCAAACAGATGTTACTGTTTAGCAGAGCATGCAGCGTAAACATTTAACAATTTTGCCACAGAATGGGAGCGAAATGGCCTCCAATATGTCATACCTCCTTGCTATTTTTTCTTGCACATGGCATTCAGTCTAAATTTAGAATAATAGTTTTCTAACAAACTGCACAATATAAAGCTTTTAATTTGTTACAACCGAGGGGTGAAATGTTTTGCCTACATGATCAGAAGACTCATTATTCTAGGATTTTCAGGAGCCATATCGAGTTACTATATGTACCCAATAAATAATATGTACTATGTATTTTTAGTATAAGTGGGTGGATGACTTGGTAAAGACATACCGTGTCCTGCAGAGCCACATAGTATACATAACAGCAAAAAAGAGAAAAGGTGCTATTTACATTCATAACTGTACCCCTTATTAGCATGATCAAGAGAGTTTTCATCCAAGCCAATTTCTTGTCTCCTCATCTGCATTAAGCTTCATTAGCATGATCAGCTCTAACATTGTCTGAATTGCCTTTGTAAATGTACATATAGAAAGAGAGACTATCTCCTTGTCAGCAGTCAGATTTACCACAAGTAGTAGTGAAAGCAATGATTAAACTCGACTCTGAAACTCACAGTTTCACACACACTTATACATACGCTTATATAGACGCGCACTGTACAAATTTTGACAGACAGAAGTAATATCCTTCCCTGGATATCAGATGCAGACTGAAAGAAAAAACCTGAAGGGAAAAGGCAGAGAACAATATTTCATAAAGGTAAAAGCAGATTAAGTTATTACTTATTTACTGATGTATTAGAAGCAATTTTAGTCAATGGCACTAAGTCAAGCAGTAAAGAACACAAATGCACACAATAACTCTGAAAGACCTAGCGTATACTGTAATACACTTAGACAGAGGCCTGAGCAGAGTGACGCTAGTTTAAAGCATGAATGAAGAGTTATAGAGACTCACAGGAAGGACTTGACATCCAGCCCACGATTCCGGATCTGGTCCATCATGTAATCCCAGCTGCCCGGGTTGGCACGCGAGCGCCCTCCTGCTCCACCTCCCCTATAGCGAGACGCACCTGCCGCTGCTGCACCGCCCCGTGCACCCCGGGGACCACCTCGTGTACCTGCATCCCCACCCTCACCACTGTTGCCACCTCCCTCTCCTCTCCCAGCACCCCCGCCTCCCCCAGGCTGTCCAGGTGCAGTGTGTAATTGTCCCAAGCTCTGGGATGTGGTGGGGGGATGGCAGAGACCAGGGCCTGACGGGTGGATGAGAGGCTGCTGAAGGCTCTGCTGGCGCAGCAGCGTCCGAGGCCGGGCCGGCCCGGAGGGTAAGTGCTCCAAAGTGGAAGCATAGGATAACACTGGATCCCCAAAGCTGGGAGGGCAGAGGAGTAGGGAGGAAAGAGAGCGTGAAGAAGGCCACGGCCGGCACAGAATAGGATGATGACGAGGGGCAGAGGAGTCAGAGGTAGAAGAGGAATGAGAAGATTTAGAAGAGGAGCCGTGGCAGGAGGTGAGTTGGTCAGGAGTGGTGATGTCAGGTGATGAGATGAAGAAGAAAAGCAAAGAATCATCAGGGATGAGACAAGGTGGCACAGGGCAGTAGGGAGGCACAGCAGGAGAAGTCAGGTTGACATCAGGGTAAATACAGGAAAGTTCATCCAAACAGGAAGTTGATGATGGACGGATGGAGGACGAGGAAGGCGGAAGAGTGGTATTAGAGGACAAAGAGGAAGAGGGAGGAGTGTTGGGAGGTGGAGACAGGAGGAGGAGGAGAGAGAAAGAGAGCAACGTGAGGCAGCAGCAGTAACAGCAGTAGCAGAAATAGCAGTAGAAGGTGCAGCCTGAGTGATCGCTGTGTGCTGTGTACTGCTCATGGGGCTGCGCCGGGCAGCAGTGTGTAGACTGTGAGGTAGTCTTGTGCGTCTGAGTCAGACGTGTGTGCACCCTGTACGTCCGCGAGGTTTGAGCGTGCTGTTTGCATGAGGGTGTGTTTCGTGGTGCCAGCGGTCGGATGTGCACTGTCCGCACGGGCGTGGAACGGCTCTGTGCCACGTGACCGCGTCGAGACGGATGGGTCGTGGCTTTGCAGCTTCCTGGCCTCGTCAGCGAGGGTTTTTTGGTCTGATGAGAGATCACCATTTCCTCTACTCGTCAGTCAACTTTTTCCCATCCCTGACAGACTCTCCTCCTTTCTCTCTAAGTCTTTTTCGTCTTTTAAATATGCGGCGCACCTCTAGAGACATCCGAACAGCCAACCAAGTTCTACAGCACGACTCCCTCCCTCTGCCGGCCTCTCATTTTTCACTCCTCCCCTTAATAAATGCTGTTTTATTGGCTCACTGCCTTTCCTAAAATGTCACAAACAACATAAAGATGTGTCACACATCATATATGATCGTATTTGCATGAGTATGTTATAAATACTTCGTTGCTACTGTATATTTTGTCGGTTCTATTGTCACAAACATGTCATCATCTTTTTTTTTCTAGTTTCTTCTACTCCCTAAATATATCCTCCTCTTTCTCAGATCGCTGTGTAACCCAGACTACCAGAATTAGGTCATGAGAGAGCTATTCACATCAGTTAGGGGCAGTTTACTCCGCATTGCATTACTTCACCTAACACAGTTTTGCATAAAGCTTTTAGCACGACACACATCACATTTAACAGTCACAAATAAAAGGATAAAAAGGTCAGTGAAAGGTGTTGCAAGAGTTCAATGTTTTGAGGGCGGAACAAGGGAAAAAATAAAAGAGAGAATATGTAGAGTGGCTTTAGCTGGTAAGAGGAAAAAGGGAGAGGGAGATGGCAACGAAAAGAGAAGAGGGTGACGATGGAGGAGAAAATGGGGTGCGAGACACAAACACAAGAGACATAGACACTTACAGCGGCCTGAAAATAGAATCCAATTATAGACAGGGGCAAAATGAAAGATGAGAAGAGGAGAGAAGGAGGGAACGAGGAGTGAGGAAGTGATGAGCGTAAATGTGTTGTGGAGGAAGAAGTCCCACACATGGAGTGCCAAAGGGAGGTGCAAAAATCACAAAGTACCGAAAGTTAGCTGCGTCTTTTGCAGCACACTGAATATAGACCCCCAGTGATGTCATGCGTCATGGCTGGTGGGTACAGACAGTCAGTGACCAACACACAGTTCGTCTTTCAGCCTAAATTTTAATTAAAGGGAGGTGAGGGTGGGGGGGCTGCCAGCGTGTGGTGCATTATTTCAGTTAGTGTGCGAAAATGAGACTATTTCTGTGCACAAAGCTGTACTGTGCAGCCGTTCTGCATGTGTCAGCTGGAGGCCTGAGTCAGTGTGATACAGCTCGAGGAACTATTGTTATCTTCTCATGATGAGGTTTGCATTCCCTAGCACTCACACCTTGCGCTGTGCCCACACGCTTACATCACGCTGTCATCGAAGCTGCACCTTCCTCCCCTGCTGAACTTGACCTCGCTCTCCCTGTTTCTATTTTGAATGGATTCATTCAAGGCGCGAACTTGTAAGAATAAATGTCGTGCCGTGGAAAGGTGTTTATTCTGCTGCACGGCGACTGAAATGTTTGCTTTTTCGGCTCGGGTTCCGAACTCACTTGCTGGGTTTCAGTCCTCCAGACTGCATGTGGCCCTGGACGGTCTGCCACCTCCCGGCCTTCACTCCCTCTGTCACCATGCTCTTCACGCTGTCACTGCGATAAGGACCCCCCCCAGTATCCCCATGGCCAGTTGCCGCCCCCTTCTGACCCCCTGACACTGCCCCACTAAGAGAAAGAGACAGGGTGCAAAGGGATCCCATGGCAGACAGAGGGTATAGAGGGAGGAGAATAACGACAGGCAGAGGAGAAAGAGACCAAAGAGTGTGAGAGAGAGACACAGACACACAAACACACATACACAGACACACAAACACACACACACACGCACACAGGGAAATAGATTGAGCAACCACAGGGCTGAGGTGGTGAGACAGATCAGTAGACTGTGTGAAGGGGCAGGCCTATTTTCCAGGCCAAGTGAGAGGCAGGTGGATAAAAAAGGTTTGGAACCTATTGAGGAGAAAAGCAGGGAATGGGGCAAGGAGAACAGAATGAAGGAGGAGGAGGAGGACGAGGGGGAGGAGGAGAGGAATTTACTGGGAGCCTGTGGAGGATGGAAAACCAGCAACAAGTCCCAGCTTTGGGCCTGGAGGACCAAAACTCTAACTGGCAGCAACAGTGTGCAGACACTAGTCATTGAGTTGAGATGTGCTACTTTATATGGCATTATATTCACTGCAGCAGCTTAGAGGATGAGTTCTGTTTGTGTGTTTCATCCGAAGCTGTTAAGTGCATCTGATCCTGATCTCAATGTCTCATATTTCATTTAGAGTATGTAACATTACTCAGAAATTAGTGAAATTCTTGAAACTCCACAGTCGAAATTACGGGGAGGGCAATCAGATGACAATGGCTACAGATACAGTGATTAATCAGTGTGTTCATATTAAGGCATGTCATGCCTACAGTGAAAGCATTGACGATCAAAAATAAAGAACATTAGTGCCCTCTGGTGACATGACTACATTTCATTAATATGCAAGGTCCTCCTGCTCTTAAAGACAAAATATATGAGGTAATGAAAACACAGTGAGTCCACGTGGGTACAGGAGGTGCGAAACTTGCACCGTGCCCGTTTAAAGGTCACCTTTCACATGAAACTCTGACCAATTGACCTGACAGCGCTGGTGGATAAGTCATCAATCACAACAACAACATAGATGACACTGCTGGAGCAACGGTCAACACAGGAGACATGAGCCTCATTTATCGAACTGAGCACAAGGGGGACGCTTTTACTTTTCATTAACAGGAGGAAAACATCAATAAGTGGCGCTATGAATCAGAGTATTCACAGATGTATAACGCTTTTAGACATCAATCCTGTTTCTGACTGAACTACAGTGAAAGCTTAAGAGATTTAAAAAAGAAGTAAAGCCGCATATTATTTGGCCGTTTTTTAAAGCCACCAGATAGATAAAATATTGAGTCTAATTAAAGTCACTCCCTAAGCTTGACTTCATAAATTTGAAAGATATCAACAGACTACAGCCACTTTTCTAAGATATTATGGTGGCTGCTGACTGCTCCTGACAAAAAATGTATAGTTTTATTTTTTTTTAAATGATAGAATTGAACTTCAAATCCAATAAATCCTTAAACACTGAGAGCGATCCTGCTGGATAGGAAACCTGTTTGATAAATGAAGCTCAGCGTCATTACAGAGACTGAAAGCTGCTGATCTCAAGAGAGTTTCAAACAGGAAATGATTTCCCAGCTGTCTGTTGGCTTTAGAGGCATATTATTGGTTGATGTCACAAGGTCAACCCATCTCTCCTTGGGAGAAATAAGTTCATAATTTATTCAGCTTCTAATTGAGTGTTTGCTTTTGATTTTAAACTGGCTCACACGTTATTGAAAACAGCCTATTTAACCATTACTGAAGTCAAAAGTTCATCTGTGTATGTTCCGTGAAAGCAAGTCCAGCTGAAAAGACGTCTATAAGGGCAATCAAGAAAAACCTTTAAAAGATAGTTTGGGTTGAATTGAATTTGCGCTATACACTGTAAGCAAAATTGAAATGAACTGAAGGTGAACTTCTAAAGAAACGAAGATGAGGGTCTATCGTGTGGCAATTTGAGATCAGCAGCCATCATCTTAAGGCATTTTTCAGACGCAAATGCATATAGCCACTGTGTTCATAAACACATTGCTGCCTCCTTTCTCCAGGCATTTTTTTAACACGCACTCCTCAATGGCTAGGTCTGGTAAAGATGACCAGTTATTAAACACTTTATCAGACATATGCCTGGTAGCAGGGTGTCTAAACTGTGAGCTCTCTCAGTGCCCACAGGGGCATGGCCTTGCCAATTCTTTATTGGAATCAAGTGCCTAGTGGATGGAAAAATAAATAAATAAATAAGAGCTTTCATTGCAGTAAGGAAAAGCAGTGTTACCATGAATTCCAAAAAGATAAACAACAGATGCAGTTCAAGTATTTCAGTGTTAGTAGCAGCACATGTTAGATTTTATACTGATGGGATTCAGAAAGAAGCCACAGATGGATGTAAACGGCAGGCGAACACTGGCACAAAACTGCAACCTGGTGTAACGGTCAACCCTCCACCGCCACGGCAACAACAACAGCAACCAGCAATTTTTAGCGAACACAAGGAAAAGGAGACGGAGATTACAGAGAAGGTGATTAAAGTATACACATCTCTTTTCTTTTTTTTTTGCTAAGGGGAACTACGAGGGTTGTCCGTCTCCATGGTTACACTCCATGGGAGAGAGGTTAGAGGTCAGGAGTTAGTGTTTAGCGGCAGGGCTGTAGGGAGTAGGGGGGCATCTGAACATGCGCCTCTGTGTTCATTTAAAGGTGACAAGATGTGAGGAGAAGCAGCAGAAATTAGCCTGCAGGGTTTACGCCGCTGTGCTGCAGTCGGAGTCGAACAGCCATTGCGGGATGCTGAAATGTGCATGTATGGCATTTCCCTCACTCACATTTCCCAGGCAGATTATGAGTAATCATTACTAACCCTTTGTGCCCTCGGGTGTGCTAGCATTGGATGGATTACTATAGATGGTGGAAATTAGATTAAACAAGAACAACAACAAAAAAACCAGGTCTTAAAATGTGCAGCCTGTATTTTATGCAACACTGTGACATTTATGGATTATGGCTTTTTTTTTAAAAAGGCCTTTGGCTAAACAGCCCCAGTTATTCATAAGAAAATGTGGGCCTAAGGAACAGAGACATAATGGAGATTACAAAAGTAGGTGAATTTAATAAGCTGTCATGCGTGATAACAGCCACATCGAGAAGTTCAATTTGATGATTGACTAGCAGTGGCGACTAGACAACTAGGAAACAGGGACGGTGGAAGGGTAAGGAAAGGAAAGGAAAGGAATGGAAAGGAAAGGAAACTGGAGTGGCACTGCCCCTGCCTCATTACAGCCCTGCTCAGGGGAAAGTCTCTTACCAGCTTTGGACCAAGACTCACTTGAGCGTGAGGCGCGGATCTCCATATGGGGCATAGGGAGAAATGTTTAGTACGAACTCCTTGGGTGGATAGGAGCTCCACCTCTGCTGCACTGTGCTGCTGTCATTGTTATTCCAAAAGTCTCTGTCTAGATCACTGTGGCCAGAGAGAGAGACAGGTCAGAGCAACACAACTATGGACAGCCTCGACACCAACCAACCATTCCCAACAGCCGCTCCTCGTTTTGGAGACGATGCAAGGTCGGTTTGAAGAAGAGGGTTGTTCTTAGAGCTGCGTCAAATGGGAGTTTGAAACAAAACAAGTCCAGATTCATTTCTATCTTTCTATATGAAGTAAACAAGCCACCATAGTGGTGTGACTGAAAAGTAAATAAATAAATTTAAAAAAAAACAGCAGCCTGGAGGAAAAAGGCATTCACTGAAAGCTTTTCATAGCAATGTACTGTAGCAAAGACACAGAGACAGAAAAAAAAGGAGATAGAGCAAGAGAAGAATTATACTCTGATGAATACATACAGCATGTGATTACATTCTGTTCATTAAGCATGGTACCACTGATGAGAGACATTTGAGTAAACATTAAGAAGTCTGGCCCCCGTCCTTCGCGTGAGCAGTGAGAAAGCGTGAACACATGAGACAGAAGGCAGAGAGGTAAACTGTAGACAGTCATAGAAGGGGAGAAAAAGGTGAGCAGAATCACTGATGTCATACAAATCACACAGCAGTGGTCAGAGCTGCAGCGCGGGGACAGAGCGGGAGAGAAAGGCGATACACAAAGAGAAGGAGTTCAAAGCTGAAATGATCAACAGAGCACAGCGATGCTGCTGGAGCCAGTGAGAGAGAAAATGCAAGAAATTAAGAGTTTAAAACAACCCAAGTCAGAATACATTCACAGAAGCTCGTCTTTAGTGCTCAAAACCGTTCAAACGGAAAATAAAAACACGGCGCACACACGGAAAAATAAGCTGGAGCGAAATCAGGCTACAGGAGAAAAGAAGTGATGAGCAGGTTAACAGAGGCATTTTGTGGAATAAAGTGGAATACTCTGAATTATGATTCTGACATTTTCTGGTACTGACCTATGGCCTTGTTTTATCAAGAACAGAAAATACCTTAATACTAGTTTGAGCCCTGCAAGAAATGTTAGAAAAAACACATCCTCCTGAGCATTTCACTGTGAATGCTCGAGTCCCCGCTTGTTTTACTTGACCCTGAACCGTCTTAAGTGATGCAGATGTGCGGCACTTAAAGGAGACCTGTCTTACATCCAATAAGATAAGTGCAGGAGCAGACTCGTCCAGCCAAAATCTTCACAGGTAAGATAATGCAGATTTAATCTTTACTGATTAAATCACTAACCTTTCATTTAATGTCTCCTGAACATGCTCTTGTAGAGATTGCCCTCTTCAGGATAGAACAACGTGGGCTCTCTTTCTTTTTTTGTGTAGTGTACATCGAGGGACTTGAAGCTGAACCAAATGGACTTCATTATCACCAGATTTTTCTACCCATACCAGTTACCAGGCACTTACTTGATGGCTTTCTTCTCCCCTCGCCCACGTGCCGAGTCTGGAGTGTCTGCTGTTTCCACTCCTGGCTTATTCCTCTTCCCCTTGAGCCAAGAGCAGGGGGATGACAGAAAAATAATAAAAACCAAAGGTTAGCTTAGATTTCTCCTTTTGAAGCCGTGTTTTTTTCAGTCCTAAAATGAAATGTAAATGCCTCTCCTGTTATCTCAGGAACACTGTGTCATCAGTCCTTTACCTCACGGTCTCCTGATTACACTAATCAAAGTCAAATCATATCTGCAGTGAAGAGCCATTTCTGACTATGACTATGAGACTGGAGTGTCTGTTGTTTCCACTCCTGGCTTATGCGTCTCCCCCTTGAGCCAAGCGGAGGGAGGGGATGACAGAAAGCAGAGAAACAAAAGGTTAGCTTAGATTTGTCCTTTGAAGCTGTGGTTTTGCTGTACTGATTTCAAGTGCGAATGCGTCTCCTGTTATCTCAGGAACACTGTGCCATTGGTCCTTTACTTCTTGGTCTACTGATTACACTAATCAAAGTCAAATCAAATCTGCAGTGAAGAACCATTCCTGACTATGACTATCATTCGCACCACCCTAAAAATTTACATGGCAATTGCCTGTTGAAGGTAATCTGCTGGGTGTTGCAGAGAAGCCTCTTGAAAGTCCTGCAAAAGCCTTATTTCAAATAGCTAGCACATTACCTGCAGTAACCAAAAAGTAAGGTCGGCTGTGGGCATTCTTCTGGAAAAGCTCATTTCAATTAAAGGTGCTTCACATATGTCATACTGAAGGTAAGCTCTATTGACACTTTGCTGGAAGTGGAATAAGGGGGGAGATCAGTCTGAATAGTCCCTATCCCACAAAATACAGTGAATGCAACTCTGAAAGTGATGCTCTGATACACATTGAGGATAGGATGGATAGGATTCTCCTATCTCCTTGTTACATTTCGCTCTAGTAGCCATGAAAAGCCAGAATCTGGTAGCCAGATTAGCCCAGCTAATTACAAAGCAGCAACACGGTGCATTTAGGCAAGTAAAGTCGACGTCCTGCTGAAGATCACACTAAGCATTAGAATGAGGAAGAAAGGTTGAAGTGACTTCGAATGTGACATAGTTCTTGGTTTCAGATGGGCTGGTCTGAGCATTTATCTACTGGGATTTTCCCAGACAGCCATCTCCAGGGTTTACAGATAATCTCCCAAAACAGAGAAAATAGTCAGTGAGCAGCAGATCTCTGGGTGAAAACTGTTATGTGAGGGCTGCGAGCAGGCAGGAATGGTGGACCCAAAGTGCAGAAGCTCGGAGGCAAAAGGTGAACTCAAAACAGCTTTAATGTTGAACTCAAAAAGGTAACAAAACTGAGACTCCAAATAAACTCAGGCAAGCAGCCAAAACACACAGCATCGTAAACAGTAGATCACAACACAGAGAAACACAGGGCTTAAATACACAGAGGGAGCAATCAGGGAATGGGTAACAGGAGGGAAACACAGCTGGGGCAAATCAGGCCTAACGAGACAAAGGAAGCAAAACCAGATGCATTTACATGACACAGACTTTCAAAGTAAAACAGGAAACATAACACAGAGACGCGAAATTACAGACAGACTCACAGGCAGGCACTACAACAGAGGGAACAGAGACGTGGGACCAGGGCAGACACAGACACTGACTGGACACGGGGATATAGCAGACAGGCGAGACAGCAAGGATTACACAGAAACATAAATCATAAGACAGAACTCTAACAAAGAAACCAAAGAATAGAAATGATAAATAATATAATAAACTGAAAAACACTGGGTGAACGACCCAGGCATCCTAACAAAAATGTCTTGTTGACATCAGAGGTCAGAGGAGAATGGCCAAACTGCTTCGAGCTGATAGGAAGGCAACCATAGCTCAAATAATCACTTGTTACTAAGGTTTGCAGAAGAGCATCTCTGAAATGATAGCACATTGAACCTTGAAGCAGGTTGGCTACAGCAGCAGTAGACCACACTGGGCACAAACAACTACAAAAACACTAGAAGATCGGAAAATTGTTGTCTGGTCTTGCGAGTTTCCATTTGTGCTGCAACAGTTCAGATGGCAGGGTTAGAATGTGCTGTAAACAGCATGAAAGCACGGATCAGTCCAGCCTTGTAACAACATTTCAAGCTGGTGGTGGTCTGTTGGTTTGGAAGAGATTTTCTTGGCAGAACTTTGGATCCATTAGTACAAACTGAGCATCTTTTGAATGCCGTAACCTACCTGAGTAATGCTACTGACCATGTCCATCCCTTTATGACCACAGTGGGCCCATCTCCTGAAGACAGCACACTATGCCAAAGAGCTCAGATCTTCTCAAACTGGTTTCTTGAACGTGACGGTGTGTACACTGTACTCAAATCAGTCCATAGTCACCAGATCACAATCCAATCAGTAAAGGAAGATTATCATCATGGGTATGCATTCCCCAAATCTATGTGATGTTATCGTGTCAACATAGGAATGTTTCCAGCACCTGTTAACTCTATGCCATGAAGAAATAAGGCAGTTCTGAAAGCAAAAGGGGGTCCTGTACCCAGTACTACCATGGTAGATCAAATCTAGATCTAAAAGTGGTTGGTGAGTGTATTTTTCCACGTCATTTTGAAATCACATTTGCTTTAATAACAAAACTAATCATAATTTTGATCTTAATAACATGTAGAGAAAACACAAAGGAAAAATCAACCATATATTCTGACTGCCTCTGGACTGACTCACTTCTACATGATCGATGCTCAGACAAAGCGAATCTATATGGAAATGCAAATGTGTCAGAATCTATATACTGAATCCCAGCAGGCAAACTGACACTGTGGCTTTGGATCCTGTTGAACTAGTTTCAAAGCCAGTGTTGACAATAACACTGCTGAGAAAAAATGATAAAGCCCACACAGCTCTACTGATAATATCCATTGCACACAGTGAAACAAAGCCACTCGCCTATTGTATAATCAGCGCTAACCTAAATTGGAAAGGTCCCCAAATAAATAAAGACTGATCTGACAGGATGACTCGCTGAACAGCTGCATACAAGAGGTGTATGCAGCTGTTATTATAGACACAGAGCTGCACTGAGCACATGTCCTCAGCCTATTCATGAACTTTTAAAGCACATTTTTGATATGACATGCTGGCTAGAGACCTAAAACCAGCGATTATGATTTCTTACACCATTCCCTATACAAATACTTGCACATAGGCAAACACAGTATTCTTGAACGATCATTTCTGGGAAGGCAGAACTGTCTGTATTTCTGTGAAGCGAGGACAAACTATCAAAGGAAACTCATGCATCATTCAACGCTATCGTGAAATTTTCAGGAAGGTGGGAAGACACAGATGATGAGTGAGAGTCCAGTACAGAAAGAGGGCTGAGGGCTGAAAATAGAAATCAAATTTGAAAAAAAAAAGAAAAGAAACAGAAGATGCTACCAGAAAGGAGAGAAAACAAAGGCGGTGCAGAACAGCATGAGAGACAAAGAGATGGGAGGAGGGGGGACAGGTGCAAATAGTGAACTGAGTGAAGCAATGAGTGACAGATAGTCCCGAGCGGGTTGGATGTGAAAACAAGGAAAGAGTCGAACACTCTGCAGTGGGCACTGAGTGACAAACACACATCTGTCTTTCCGTGCACGTGCACACACACACGCACAGCTTCAAATCCATCTCCTCTTCACTCTTCCTTCGGCTCATTCACAAGAATGGATGGCAAACACTCTGCTTCTGCCTTCATGGGAGGTGTGGAGGCTACAAAAATAGTGATGAATACAACGGCACAGACATGAGACGAGAAATAATGAAGAAAATGAAGTCAATATTTCAAATGGCGGCTGAAAAAAAAATTTGTTTTTTGTCTTCTTCTTTAATGGCAGGGAGTTTACAACGATCATAGTATTGGGTGGTGTCTGGCTCTGTGCCATTACTTCATAATAGTTCCAACTCTTATGATGAAGCAATTATAAAAGATACCCAAATTGCACTGAGGCTCCACTTAGAGAAAAAAAAACAATCCACTAATACGTTTTAACAATCAAACTGCAGCAGAGCAGGTTACAAATTAAATTATTGGAATATAGAAGGGCTGTAGAGCAGGACGTAGTGGAACTAAGAACCCAAGGCTCTCCAAAAAAAAGAGTAATTAGGCAATTAGCAAACATTTTCAAATATTACATAATCAGCATTGAAAGCAAAATAATACTTTTGGTTGAATAAATAGGCAATGTCTTGTTCTTTATCAGCTCTGGCTTCTCTCAGCTGTCTCAATTAGTTTTAGTAATGTGTTCATAAACTTTACTGATGGAAACGTCATTTTGCAATATATATCATTTAAATGCCTGCAAAAGAGTTCAAGAGTGACAGCGGGCCCTAAATCCTGAGTTTTTTGGATGCATTGTGCTTTTAAGTTTTATTGTGCCACTTTATGTTGCTGCAGATTATGCAAGCGCCTGGCAGTTTGTCCCCTCAATTGTGCAAATAAAACATAATTTTGTTGAAGCCATGTTTGGAGGTCTTTTTTTATCAAGGACTAAAGCAAGCCACTCTAAGGATAAGAAGACAGCGAGTTCTTTAAATCAGGCCAAAATAATGTGTTTAAATTTGAGTGAGTGGAAAAAATAAATTGAGTCAGGTCAGGTGACATTAGCAAAATACTGCATCTCAATACTGAATGCCTCAGTTTGTTTTTCATTCCTGATGAAGAGCTGCCCTTTTTATAACCTTCATGTGGATGATTCATTTCTGTTGCATTAAATATTGCAAAATTGGAATTTAAAAGCTTTACAACAGGTTTAATAGAATCACTGCCATTGGCTCCTTTTTCTGATGCTGTTATTCATTTGTCGATCGTAAGTATTTGCTGTGGTTTTCTCTGGGTGGGGTTAGCAAGGATAAGCAAGCTTATTAAAATTTCAAAAATGTTCCAAGTAACTCTTATCTATAGCCCTAAGGCTTTCAATCTTTTTAGTTTTTGAGCTGTCACTTATTAAATTTGGGGAAATTTATTAAGGAAAACCAGCAAATATGTCAACTATTGGCTAACTATTCATTCT